TGGGCAATGTCAGGTTAAATGGAGACAAGGACTCGTTGCAAATTCCATAAAGTTTGTCTACATGTGTAGAAATTTAAGAAATGAAATCGAATAGTACATGTGAATTGATTTAAACAGAAAAGATAGATTCCAATTCCAATTTAGATTCAGGGGATTTTGGTCGTTTGCTGTCGAAAATGGGAGATGCAAAAAGACTGGTTGAACAAGTTATCTATAGAAATGGATTTGAAGCTGAAGCACATTTTGTTTTACTTTGGTGCACCGTATATACTGAGTGTTGGTTTGAATTCACAATAATCATGGCAACAAATTCATGGCTTCTGGCAACATTTTAACAAAAAAAAAAAAAAAAAAATATATATATATATATATATATATATATATATATATATATAATATTTGAAAAGAACACTTGTTTAAAATACAAACTGTGTTATAAGAAGAGTGTTTTATATACATATGATACTATAATGAAATAAATTAATGATTGAATGAAAAAAAAATGTTATATTATGTTGTCTTTTTTTCTTTAAATATGGAACTTATAATCTAAGGTGTGTTCATTTCAAAAACCAACAGCTAGAATGTGCATTGTTCAATTCATTACCTCCGCATGATAAAACGGCGATCGAATCCATCTCAAAAGCAAAATAAAATGTCTGTTCGGTGCAATGAGGCTAGGACGTGTTCTGATACACGAGAACCTTTGGACTGGAATCAACGGTTTCTTTCGAATTTGTCATGATCTACAATGTGCAAATTGAACATATTTCCCTGAAATATAGTTTCGTTTTCAATTAAAACTCTTATCATTTTTTTTTTCGTTTAGAAATTGAATCCATTGCGTTCCGCCGTCCACCTGTAGGCCCAGTGGCTGCGTTTTGGAATCGCCCCTACGTTCTCAGCTGTGCGGGCACGCAGTATATAGGTCAGCGGTGCCTCTGGCTTCTTACTCCCAGTGTTGTATACTCCAGGTTCTGTTGGGACATACGAGTATACCAAGCACATGCATGGTGATGCAATATCACTGTCTTTAGCGTTATACATTTCCCCTGGTATATAAAAAGTATCTTTGGCGTTGGCGATTTGTACACGTGCGTTATGCATGTCACACACGCAAGTAGAAATGCCTGTACCGTCATCTTGGTAAGGAACATGGCGTGGGGATCGTTTGCCGAACAATATCGAGGGCAGGTACGGATGAGGGACGCGTGCCTCCTTACTGGATACCATAGAAACTGTGACCAGTACAAATGATATGGATAAGATGTTCATTTTCTTGCCACACTGGTACGTCTAAAAATAATAGAGAAACTATTTAAAATTTATCTTTAAAATTCTTTAGGTTGAGTTTTCCCTTTTCCAGGCTATTAACAAAAGTTGTTTCTCGTTTCTCTTTATCTATAAATGCATTTTGCATGTTATCCCTTCTGATGAAAAATATTTGGAATTCTTTTCCACGTGATAAGTGAAATATTTAACCGAATTTGACTAAAATGACGGATATAGGCTCTGATCATTGGCAGCAGTTTTAATGCTACATCTGCAGATGTATGACCTGATGTAAAAAAACTCACCACCACATTAAATGTTTCCCATAAAATCTAACGATCGTATTTTCATTGTTAGACTTAAAACTGAAATCCTCTAGAAATTATTTATGAAGAGAGTTTTAAATGATCATTTCTTTTATATTGGAAATAGTTAACTGAATATTTCAAAAACTTAATAACTGAACGGTATTTTGGGACATACGTTATCGTACCTCAAGCTCAGTTCCTTTTCGTCTGCGGTTAACTTTTTCCCTTGGTACGTTTTCAGCTTACTCCAGAGTTCTGTATTGTCACTTGGGCGTCCTGTACACACTGAGCAAGCGTTGGAGACACGGGTTTTATAAGGACAGAGACATTGTCATAATTCAATTATTCCTTCCGCGTTACAAACATCTAAGCTAGTGTCACTGAACACTTACACGCTAACAAATCGTCAACGGAACTCCAGATCTACGTGGCTGCCAAGGCTGGGATTTACCGCAATATAAATGTCTACAATGACCAGTAGACGAGGATTACGTTTTCTCACGTAATGGCCCTGGTCAGCAAAATGTGGTCACTCCCAGAAATTAAGGGACCCACGTGTTTCTGTTTTTAAGTTTTAAGTATCATTACCGTTGTGGTTGTAGGTGTTGTGTATCTATCAATACATAGAGGGATGGTCGTGCTGATTATTCACGTGTCCTACTACACGTTATCTAGAAACGCCATATATGTATGACATAATTAGTGAAAACACAAATAAGCAAGTAAATCCAAGCACATTTTTTCAAAATGTTGTGGGAACGACATTCAAGAAGAGTTATTTTTGGCTTACAAACTAAATAAAACGAGAACATCTGTTTTTAACATCTTATCTAGAGACTGAAAACCCTTTTTCATAGTACCTTTAGGATGCTACGTATCATCATATTTCAAAATTCACTACTCAGATCAATTTTTTATGGCTTCTCTGCGTTATCCAGTAAAGAGGGAGAGAGAAGGGTTCCGCAGTTTATCCTCTGAGTTACATGACAATGGTGTCTGCAAAGGCTGTTGATATACAAGTTTTGATCCCCAACANAAGTAAATCCAAGCACATTTTTTCAAAATGTTGTGGGAACGACATTCAAGAAGAGTTATTTTTGGCTTACAAACTAAATAAAACGAGAACATCTGTTTTTAACATCTTATCTAGAGACTGAAAACCCTTTTTCATAGTACCTTTAGGATGCTACGTATCATCAAATTTCAAAATTATTCCTCAGATCAATTTTTTATGGCTTCTCTGCGTTATCCAGTAAAGAGAGAGAAAGAAAGAGAGGGGTTCCGCAGTTTATCCTCTGAGTTACATGACAATGGTGTCTGCAAAGGCTGTTGATATACAAGTTTTGATCCCTAACATAATGTCTTACAATTTCCTTTTAATCATATTGCGTCTTTTTCTTTTTCTAAAATTTATTCTTAATTTCACGACGTTCTGTTTATCAAAATTATTTCCTATTAATTCTATCTATTAAGGAACTCCTTTTGGAGGTACATGCTGTAGTTTGAGGTCAAAAACACCGAAATGCATTTGGAGAAGATTACATTTCACTAGAAGAAATGTTTCGTTATTTATAAAAATTTTCGGGTTCAATAACAACGCATTGTAGACAAATAAATTTTCGTAAAATTGTTAGAAAGGTGAGGTTCTGAAGTCAGTTATACTTGGGGATTTTTCCGTTTGAGTTCCTTCCGATGATCAGTTATAAATATTTGGTAAAGCAAATGTCACATTCAAGAAAGCGTGGTCTGACGATGATTGCCAGAGTCACCTAAAGGTTATACGATATGCCAGGAGGAATTCCATCACACAGTTAGTGTCTTGTGCAGCTGTCCAAATGACCCGAATGACGTCTTACGTTTCTGTTCCAACATGACAATGCTCCTCCTCATCTTGTCCGCAAAACACAACAAGTTTCCAGTGACCAAAGGGATGACAACTGTTCTTTTTGGACAAAAAAAAAAAAACAAAAAAAAAACAAAAAAAAACGGATTTTCTTGGGGTAAACGACGATTTCCCGTACTTACATGTACCAATGCAATCCATTGCAATGTACATGAATCCATTCCAACATTCAAAGTTAGTTCATGATTTTTTTCTATTTTAACCTTTTTTGGTAATAAATCTTCAGAGATTATGACGGAGGTTTAGTCATCTATTAAGGTGCACGTATTCTGATAACAAGCACAGATTCCAGAATAATTGCGATAACCACTGTTTTGGTGGTAAAATGGAATTTATTATATTTTCATGAGTTGTTTACAATGCATTTATTGTGAAATATGAATCTCATACGAACAGATGTTATCTCTTTAAATAGTTCAGACTTATCTAAAACATTGTTTTCTCACTTGTTGATCACAGTAGTTGAAACAATGCCCATATTTCGCATAGATAACACATGTATATATACCTGTATTGCACCTGTATATATACCTGTATTGTTGACCATTAAGAAAATTAGCGACACTTTATTTACTTAAAGTGTTAGGGCCTACATGTAGCTCTGATATTAACTCATCTCTTCTGTCTACATCAGAGCGATTCGGTAATAAACTATTCTTGTTAAAGGCACCGCATAGTGTTTTTTTTTCCTACGGATAATTTAATATACAAGGACATGCCCTATAATGCAACCGATCACCAATGCAGTCAATCTCCGTTACCACAACGCCTCTGTGTGGAAAAAATGCCAGACATCACCGATTCGCATAAAAATGTTAAAAATGATGAAAATGCAAGTTGTCTGAGAGAGAAGTGGTTGAAAGACCTTAGATGTACAGCGCTAATATGAAATATTTAGATTCTGTTTTCACGGGTCTTACACAAAACAAATCCAAAGAGTAGTTTTATATTTGAAAAGCTTTTACTTAGCTAAACAACAGGCTGTTGAAATGGATCGTGATCATTATTACTAACTGTCTATTGCAGTTCTGTAGCTTTTACGTAGGCATATTTCACTAACAAATAGCCGCCACAACTGCCCATTATAGGCCTATTGTCCTTATGGGACTATTCTTCGGATGTTTATTCCTCTTTCTTAGAATTTTACTTATTGCCACCTATAACGGACATTTGTGTCTTAATAGCATATAAATGGAACAACCTGGAACATGCAACAATTTATAGGCTACCAGATTTTTTTCAAAAAAATTGGGAATGACCACCATGCATCTACCCATATCACAAGTAAGCCCACACATCTGAAATTAATGGAATTTGTCCTGTAGAAAATATTAGGCTGCATCTTTTATTTTACCCTGCCAATGAAAGCGCAATGATACAAGCGCCCTCTTGGGGTTCCCTTCAATAATTGCAATCGTTCCCTTTCAAACAGTTACGATCTTTTCTGCTGTAGCAGATTTCACACCTGAGGCCAATTGCGCCGCATTGCAGCAGGTGCGACTTACAGTACGCATGCGCACTTTAGATGACAACAAGACAAGAGAGCTAAACAATCGAGCTGGCAGCAGTTCTCCATTGCGAGTTGTCCCGTCTGTTACGTCTCTGTAAATTATAAAGCAACCCAAGGTTAACTGACAGGGAGATATCTGCCTGATCATGCCACCAAAGAAGAAAAAGGGTGGGAAAAAGAAGGGGAAAAAGAAGAAGGATGGTAAGTTTTGACAAGTATTAGATCCAAACGGCCCATATACATGTACTGTACAGTGGGGTTGTATGACATATGTCCATCTTTAAGTTGGTGACTTTGTAGAAAAGTCGTTGTAAACCTCTATACAGTAGGCATTGCAGTGTGATTTTAATTGTATGGAAGTTATACCAGTCCATTATTTGCAATTTTCTTATATAAAGTTGAGTTCTACGTTAGAGAGAGAATATAAAAATATTTATTTTATATTTTCTTCCAGATGCCGAGTTGGAACTTGAGGACAAATACAGAAAGACGATGGATGAGATTGAAGCACTAAAAGATCACCTGGGTATGTCTCTTTGTTGTTCGAATCAAGTAGTTTGATAAGTATTCTGTTTTGAAAATTTGTAAAGAACAAACAAGTAAGTCAATATTCTGTATCATATTTTTAGGAATTTAAATAAAGTCAGAAAGTTATTTGAGTATATGCAGGTCTGATTGGAATGATTATTTCAGCTATTCGCAAGGAAATAGCCAGGCGTTCCCAGTCAATGGGAGATGAATGGAAGGCACAGGTGAAACAGGCAGAGAAACAAGTACAAGAGTTAAAAGATGACCACCAGTCAGTCAGTGCAGGTAACTTTATTGTCATTATTGGGAGCACAACCATTGTGTCTCTCACCTAGCACAATCAGAAACAGGGGCTAAAAATTGTCTAGGTTTAGTGCACTTTATCCTCATGAAGTTTATTTAAATAATATATAAATAATAATAAATTAATATTAATAATAAATAAATAGAGTAAAAGAAATATGAAAGGTGTAATATATTTTAAGGCAGTTTTTTTTTAAATTGTAGAAGTTCCCAATGTTGATAGAATGCATGTACTATAATCAAGATCCCATTTTGGACACTTTAATAGATTTTATTTATAAATTTATTTTTTTGGATATGATATAAAACTATAAATATTGTTATATATATTTACAGACATGACAAGACAGTACAAAACTATGCAGACAGATCTCAGTATTCAGATTCATGACCTGAAGACAAAACTAGAGAGAACACAGAGAGAGTTGGGTAAGTCTGAAAAGGTTTGGCATAGCTGTATCTTGCCAGGTTAGCAATTACAAAATTTTATTTACTTTAACTTATTTAAATTGGAAAATAATTTTGAATTTTGGGGAACTCTTGACACTTTTACTAGACTAATAACAGAATGTCTTTCCAGAATGTCTTTCCTTCTGAAAGCAGTCTTGAAAGATGGTGTCCAGTTTTTTTATGATGTTTTTGGCATTTTGGTTACATTTATTGTGATGTTCTTATTTTTGTCCTTTTGAGTTTAAATATCAAATCTACTCTTCAACAGAAGATTGTCATATTTCACATATGCGGAAGAGAAAAATATCTGCTTACAGAAAGATGTTCTGGATAGAAATTCACTGAAGTTAACTCTTCTTAGGGGGGATAGTAAATTTTACTTTTTAACTAGGTGTTGGGCAGATCATTGTGTGTGTGTGTGTCAGTGTGTGTTTGGTCTTTTGAATTTTCGAAACTTGCTCCTAACATCCATTTCTTTTCTTTCAGAGAAAACCCAGCAGGATCTAGCAGACACGAGAGCAGAGAGGGATAAGATTATCAAGGAGAAGGACAGCGAGATCCTGGATCTGCAGGTTAAGATACAGAGCCAGGAAGAGGCTTATGAAAAGATACTGAACGTAAGTGGGGATGAATTCGAGGGTTGGACAATTTTTAGATTAGACGAGTAAATATCTTGGTTAAGGTGATGTGAATAGAACTTATAAGTGGGAACAAAATGGAGGGTAGGGCAAACTTTTTGATTGGATGGGCTGAATTATCTACTTAATCAAAAACCTATTTGTTGAAACTGTAGATTGTGGGTGCATATATCTTTAAGATTATTGCTTTTGGCAAATGTCATTTCACATGCTGTGCACAGTTGATTAAGTATAAGTACCACAATGGATTCCCAGCATAATTCAACACATAAGCCTCGGAAATGCCTTAATATGTAAAATGTCTTCATTTCTTTTCAGAACACCCTGGACAGTCTGTCAGAGAAGATCAAAAATGCCCGCTTGGTCTGGGTTGATAAAGAATCTATGATAGCTCAGAAAAACAAAGCCACTCTGTTGGAATTTGGACTGAATCCACTGGATTTATGATGATTTTTTAAAACAAAGAAATATGGAAAGAGATTTGATGGAATTTGGATAAAATTTTTCCATATAAACTGCTGAAAACTGTGGTAGATTATTAAGATTTCTGATGGTAAAATTGTGGAGGGACATAGAGAAAAGTGGATGTATATTATTTAGAAATGATCTCCCATTACTCCTGTGTACTTAATGTTGTTATAATTTAAATACATTCCAATGTTTGAATAGAAGCTGTTCAGTTATGTTCACCATTTACAATAAGATGAATGCAAAGATGACTTATATCCTTTAATTCAATGTATTTCAAAGTGAGGAAATAATAGCCACGCTATCTTATATTCCATGTCATCTTTGGTTTTGACAATGCTGATGTAAGAAAAATACTCCATTTTAGACTATAAATGTTATTGTGCACCATTAGAAAACATTTTTGTTGTACCCCACGATCTTGTTTTACTGTAGATGCCCTCCTCTTCCTAGTGTAGTAAAAACAAAGCTCCCCACCCACTCTTTAGGTCACACGATTGACACATATTGTTCAGTGTTAAAAGCCAGTTTAATTTGTTTACTTATAAACATTAGATCACCTATCCCCCATATCTCTGTAATGTTCATAATGTTGAAGAGGTTAATGTGGTATCTGCTGGCACCATCCTTACATGCCTGAATATGCTGTCTGCTTAAATGGGAAGGGAAGGTCACAATACCAGTCTCTGCCACAGTGTAAAGCTAACAGAACTAGCTGGTACTGACAGTCAAGTAAACAAACACCTCCTTCTACAGTATTTATATAAATAATTTTAATATTTATTATTTCATTCATTCAATACTGTAAAAACAATTAACCACTTCATTATGTCTGGCAATATGTAAATGCCTGTTATGTTGAAAAATACAAAATAAACCCTACTGCCAACTGTCAAAATGTTTTTACATCAAACGTCTTCTCCAACTGTTTTTACCAATACACATGTAATAACAAAAATACTCAAATTTGTGAACTGTCAGAGTTTTAGTTGTGATAATTATGTTGACTTAAGTATTACAAACTTAAATTTTTGTTTTAAACATGAAGGCGATTGTGCAAGAGTTCAGCTTCCCTTAAGCTACTGATTTCATTTAATATAGTAAATATCAGCCCAATGAGACAGAGAAATATTCATCTGATTTGGTATTCTGCCAATTAAGAAATTGTAAAAACTGATAAGTGAAATCTGGCAAGCTGCATCTCTTCAGTTCTTGGATTTCTATGACCAACAGTGTTCTGAATTTGAGCTATCAATCTGCTGGAAAACTCATCAAACCACGAATTCTTCTTCACTTTTTTTTTTAATTCTTGATTTTTTTTACCTGAAAAATATTTTAAGACTAGAATAAGTTATATTTTCCCTGGATAAATCTGTAAGTATAAAAAACATTTTTAGCTGTTTATTTTAGAGGAAGGGGGGTGATGACGAAGCTTCAGCCTGCAAGGTGCCTGCATTAAAAGAGAAAGAGCAAACGAAAACAGTTTTGAACTCATATTAAAGCCTGCTAGCTTAGCAAGAAAAATCCAACTTTATCCGTGGACCCAAAAACTATTTAAAACAGAGATACTATATAATATTTTATCACATGATGCTATACTGTACAAGCCAAAGTGGAGTATTACAGAAAATTTACACAAGCAAAAGCAAAAGACCCACTTTTTTAATTCTGTCTATATCTCTTAGATTTTATTTTAATATATATATGTTGTTTTTTTTTTGTTTTTTTTTTTTTAATAAGATTGATTTTTAGTAGTGTAAATTTTAAATGGTTTCCAATGAGAGTTTATGATTAAAATATTGTAGTCATTTGATTTTAGTATATTAGCCATTATTGTAAGGCGCCTTGAGATAGAATGTACGTAAGGCGCCATATAAGAATCTTATTATTATTATTATTATTATTAAAATTTACAACAGCAGCACCATTTTATTGAGAAAATCAATGAAATCAGTATCTCAAAAATAAGGGCTATTTGCCAAAAGTAAGTATTTCATATAAGCCTACACTTACCCATTGAACCTAGACTACTCCTGCTGCCTTTAGCTTGCTCACCAATTCATCTACATCTTGTACTATGGACCCAGCCTCTCTTACTGGGGGGTCCTCTACACTTAACACCTCCTGCCGGGGTGAGACGTCCACCCCAAGATCTGCCGGGGATTTTTTGGCTATTGGTTTCTTCTTGGCTTTCTGGGGTTTGGAGAGAAGTGAGGAGAAAAGATTAGCCTAAATGAAAAACTAACAAAACTACTGGGTAATCTTCCAAAATGGCTCACAGTTTGTCAAGATTTCTTAAGTCCAACTACTTTTCCTGCAATACAGTCCTGGACTAAACAATATGTTCCATCCCATCTCATTCTGATAATTCAAACCCTCTTCTGTAAAATGATTTATCCAGAAGAAACATTAAATGGTAGGCTTGTTGTAAAAACATTTTCATTTTCTACAGACAACATCAAAATTGATCATGCAAAATAAAACTCACGCTATTTCTTTGAAATTATTAAAATGTAGATGAAAACGACAAATGTGAAATTCTGATAAATGAAAAGTAGAAAAAATTGATTTCATTTTAACTCCTGATCGCCATTTTTAAAACACACAAGACAGGCCTTTATACTGCACATAATACTGAGGTAATTACTGAACAAAATGACCAAAGCAGATCATTTTAATATTATCGAGGATATTCAATCAAAAGACAGTGACTTCGCCTTACCAACACTAACATCACTTTATCTGTTAGATTGAGGGTGATTTTTATTATAAACTCACCATAATATTTGGAAGAGTTGCATATCTTGGTTCATTGAGGCGTAGATCAGAGGTAATTACACAGGGAAGCTTTACATTGATGGTCTCCAGACCCCCATCTATTTCCCTGGTAACCATTAGATCGCCATTATTTTTTTCTATTTTCGATGCAAAAGTTGCCTGTAATTGAAAATAAATTCTGTGTACTTCAAATTAAATTTTGTTGTGATACCTAGTAAAATATATTACTCAATGTTTTACTTAAAAAGTGATCTCGATCTTTGATAAATAACATAAATGTTTACATTTAAAATGAGAAGACAAAGGCTACATTCTTATCCCCACAACATTACCCATTGGCAAGGAAGATTTTGTTCAATCGGTACATAGCTGAAGACTCCCCCCAAACCTTTTCAACAAAGTCAACATTTATAGAAAAGTCTTAGGAGCAAGGTACAGACAACTGGTTTATATGTATAAGTGCAGGTAAGATGTGTTAACTAACACATACCTGTGGCCAGTCTAATAGCGCTGCTGTCATCTGTCCTGTCTGATTGCAGTCGTCGTCAATAGCCTGGAGGCAAACAGACAAAAACATAAAAAAGGTGAGTATTTTTAATTAAATATATCATTTACTATGCATAATGTCTTTCATAAAAACTCCGATGTCTAACATTAAGGTTTAAAATTATGGATTTTGCTCAACAATTTCTGTTTTTCTCTTCTAAGACAATATTCTCTGATGTCACACCTAGACTGCTACTGAAAACAGTTTTTACACAGAGGGAAAAAAACCTTCAAACAAAAAGTTCACATTAATTAACATTTAAATCACCATAATATACTGTATTTAAGTGAGCATGACCTGTTTTCCTAAGAAGATAATATCCACTTTCTCTTCTTCCGCTATCTTGGCCAGCATTTTAGACACATGGAATGGCTGTAAAGTCTCGTAATCCTTGCCACTGATCTCCACATGTATGCCCCTGTCCAGTCCCATGGCAAGAGCTGTCCTAAGTGTCTCCTGAAATACGGACAATGACAATAAGGATTTGCCCACAAAACTATAATATAGTCTAACAAAGTATTTAAAATGTTCACCAATATCATATTAAAGAGAAACACTTAAAGGATGTCTTTCCGCTGTAGACGCTTAAATAGGCCTTTCTCTGAAACTTTACCTATTTGATCCTGAACCCCAAAGCATGTCTCACACGAAACCGTTGAGAAAATAAAGGTCGAGGTATAGGTTTTTAAGATCACTTAAAGAAAAAAAAGCGCAGCATTTTTTTTTCGTCTAAACTTCTCGCCATTACTCCCCTACGCATGGAATTCTGGGACTTGCCTCAATTTGCATATGACTGAATACTACTGTTTACTACGCTCTGGAGAAGACCCGGATGTCACTGCAAACCAAGATGGAGGGTAGTCCGAGTACACGTGAGTTGAAAGAGAGAAGAATAACTCTACGGGACAATGAAAAAGGAAATAAAACGGGAAATGCAGAAGCAGAGGATGTTATTTTCATTGGCAGGCCGGTGAGGTAGACAAAGCAGAAGTAGGAA